AGGGGCCGGGGGGGCGGTATTTCTATATATATATAATTTATATATACACACATATGTATATGTATGTGTATATATATATGTGTATTCAGATGTTTTGCCTCCTTACGCTTCGCCTTCTAATCGTGATCCTTGCACCTGCATGCTTTATTGATTCTGCGGTTCGCATGTTGATGTAGCCGCAATGTTGCTACGATCACTCCCGTAACCTGCCGTCTGGAAAGCTAACCTGGCGCAGCCCCGAGAAGAACGGACCCGACGCGTTCCGTCCAAACCGAACGCCAGTTTCGGCACTCGCCCAGTACGAAGTGAAGGCAGCTGCGGTCGAGAGTTGTCTCGCGCTGGAGGTGGCGCTCGCAAAAGGCGGATGTAGCCGAGGATCAGACGAGAGCACCATTCTCTCTCACCAATGCGGCCGGCGCCTGGGTGGTAGCACGCATCTGGAAATGGATGCGGCTGGCGCTTGGGTGGAACACCTTTCTCTCATGAGGGCCATCGGAACCGTGCGAGCGGAGCGGCATCACAATGGTCAGTCAGGGATGTGGCCGGCGCTGCGGAAAGAGTGCCACACTCCATGAAGGATTTGGCCAGCGGGCAGACGGCAGCATAACTCCCAGACAGGGATGTGGCCAACGCTCGGGCGAGAGCGCCAATCCCAACCAGAAATGGAGCTTGTGCACAACCGGCAACAATGAGGGGTGTGGCTGGCTCTAAGGCGACAGTACCGCTCGTATTGGAGTGTGGTCAGCGCTGGGGTGGCTGTACCAATTCTGGATCAGGATGCGGCCATGGATGGGCGAGAGCACCATTGCCGAAATATTGCAAACCGCGCGAGTGAACCGGCAGCACCATGCTGAATGAGGGATGTGGCCGGCGCCGCAGCGAGAGCACCTGTCCCACTGAAATCCGTCCTCTTTCTTCTTCGTGCCCCCCACCTTCTCCTTCTCTTTTCTTCGTTTCCTCTGCCCCCTCCTGCTCCTGCCTTTCCTCATCTTCTCCTCCTCTGCCGGCCGAGGATGGCAAGCAGAAGGTGGAGAAGGAGGAAACAGCTTGAAGGGAAACTGAAAATTAGATGTTGGTTCCTGAGGTCGCTGGAGCAAAAATACCACAAGGAGGGGGAGGAGGGAGGCAACGAGGAGGAGGAGCACGAGGCGGGCGAGGCGGGGGTAAAGGGTGCAGAGAGGGAGCAGGAGGAGGAGGAGGAGGAGGAGGAGGTGGGAGGGGAAGAGGAGAAGTGGGTTGTGGGACAACTGAGAACGAGTGGAAGCGAAGATGCTACGGCCCCATAGGACGGAAGGGTTCACATAGCGTCCCCCCGCCAATTTCGGCACGGCACTCACACGGATCGTGCCCCCCAAGGAGCTGCACTTGCGGATCCTGGAACAAAATTCGCACAGCGTGCCTCCGCCCATCCCGGCACACCCATTACACGGATGGTGTCCCAGAGGGATGTCGCTTCACGTGCGGCCACAGTGGGAGGATTCGCATAACGTCCCCCCGCGTATGCCGACTGTCCTCACAGGGATTGCATCCCACAAGGAGTTGCACCGACGGTCCCAAATCCAAGGTTTGCATCCCGCCGCCTCGCCCATGTCGGCCCACCCCTGACCTGGATCGCGAGTTCGGGGCGTATTCGGTGCCTCTCGGGACCTGGCGGCGTTTCTCTGAAGGGCCTCTTGAAGCCCTGAGATGGATCGTGAATCGGGGGCCTCTTGAAGGCTTGGCAAGCTTCCTGGGAGCCTGTTGGAAGCATTTGGGGGTCTGTGGGGGCCTCTCCGCCCTTTTTGGGAATACTTTTGGAACTCTTTTGGGCCGGCTGGGTGTCCTCTCGGACCGTCCTGGAGCTTTCTTGGACCGTCTTGGTGCCCCGGTCTTGTTTTTCTTTAAACGCCGACGTTCCTCGAGGATCTTTGGGTTCCCGGGGGGGCCTTGAGTATGGTTCCGTTCATGTTTTGGAAGTCGGGCTTTCCTCGGGTTACCCGGGTTGAACATGTTTGTTGTGATACATCGTTGAATTAAACAATGTTTATGTTCGAAGCCGTGCTCAGCAAGTCATAGACATGCAAAGCAGCGCCAAGCGATGCCAAGCGATGCAAAGCTAGGCGAATCAATGCCAAGCAAGTTATAGAAATGCCAAGGAATTTCCAAGCACGGCCAAGCAACCTATACACACTTGTATGTGCATGCGTATACGTATGTTTAAATGTATATGTCGATCCCCACCCCCTGTGCAATTACAAAAAAACGCCATGTCACCGTTCCCCCAACCCCCGGGCCCCCAGGTATACGCCGGCGGCCTCCCTGATGGTCGAAGAGGCCTCCAAGAGAGCTCCATATGAGACGGCCCAAGAAACCCCGAAGAGAGCGCCCCGAGGCCTACATCTGGCCCCCAAGACGGCAAAAGGCACCTCCCAGACGGCTTCAGAAAGACCCGATACGGCCCCAAGACGGCCCGAGAGCGCTCAGAGAGGACCCAAGGCGGCCAAGAGGCCCCCCGCAGGGTACCCAAGAGGCAAAACTCGCCCAATTCGATTTGGGAAACCGACATGGTTTGCATATTCGCTTCTTCGGTTCTAACAGCGCCCAAAATTGCCCAAGATGCCCCCGATATCGCCCCAAGACGGCCCAAGAGGCCGCCAAGAGGGCCCCAAGACGGCCCAAGAGGGCTCCAAGACGGCCCAAGAGAGCCCAATGACGGCCAAGAGGGGCCCCAGAGGGTCCAAGAGGAGTCCCAAGGGAGCCCCAAGGGGGCCATAGGAGGCCCCCTCGACGGCCCAAGAGGGCCCTAGGAGGGGTCCCCATGTAGCGCCCCTCTGAGGAAGCAGGCCCGGGGAACCCCGCGGGGAACCTGTGCGCCACTGCGTCCAGCACCCGGCGCCTTCTTCACACACAAAGGAGACCCCCTGGGCAGAGCCAATGTTGGTGGAGAAGTGTGCGTGTGCACCGAGGAGTGTGAAAACATGAAGCATATGTGTATGTACGTGCGTGTGTTCGACAGGAAGGTTCCCCGTCCTTCAAACATGGAGCTCTCCCTGCAGTGTTGCCACGCTTCGGACACAGCGCTTGGCCCCCCACCGTCTGGAAAGGCGCCTTCGCCCAGCGCAGGCCGCACTTCTGGATCGAATTCCTCCTTCTTCGCCGTTGCCGTCCGCCACCATTCCCCTCCCCCGCCTTCCCCTGACCTTGCTGCTCGCCCTGCTCATCGTCCACTTCCTCTTCTAATGTACGAAAGCCGCCCTTCCCAGATTTCACAGCAAAGGGTGAGTAAAATCCTGCAACTGCCATTTGAAGATCGATGGATGTTTTCTGGGACGCTCCAGTGGGCGGATAAAAACCAATTCGTCGCAATTGGGATGGGTTGAAGTGGCAGGATGTCAGATATGGCGCCGAAGTACCTGGTTTGATCTGAGTCCTACTCCTCGTGTCTGCCCTGACTCTTTCCTGTGCGGAGGGGCGCCGCTCCTACGTGTTGCCTACCACACACAGGCAGGTTGTTTTAAACATTGATGGTCGACATTTGCTTCCGATGGGAGCGTTGTCAGTCCTCATGAACGGCGTTCCCACTGCAGTGTCATCCACATTCAAAATCGGTGCTTGGAACCCGTGGTCCAAAATTACACTCTCGCCCCAGCGCGGGCCACACTTCTGGATCGCATTATTTCATCGTTTCCCCTCCTTTTCCGTCCTCTGGTTTTCCAGCTCCTTATCATCCTCCTCCTACTCCTGATCCTGCTCGTGCTGCTGTTGCTGTTGCTGCGGCTGATGCTGCTGCCCCTCCTCCTCCGCCTCCTCCTCCTCGTCCCCCTCCTCCTCCCTCTCCTTACTCAGTGTCCTCCGTTTCCACTGATCATCTTCCTGCTCATCCGCCACCCCCTCCTCCTCCCCCTCCTACTCCTCCAATGTACCACCGACCATGCAAATTCCCAACACTTTTTTCGTCGGCGGCGAGGAAGAAACAGTCCGCACCAGCGTGGGGCAAATCGGGGCAACCGATGGGCAGATTGTCCGGCGTGCAAGACAAAGAGAGAGAGAGAGAGATGAAGACGAGGGCGGCCGCGCGAGAGGAGGAAGAGGACGGCGCTCAGAAGTGGAAGAGTTCCGCGGTGAGCGGTTCGCAGCGGCCAGCCGAAGATTCCCATCACACGATGGGGTCACTTTCAGGATCACGTTCCTCTAGGACACTCCAGTCGGCGGAGGCAAAGTAATTCTGCGAACGGGGAAAGGATGGGTGGGAGGGGGGGATGTCAGATATGGCGCGAGCGCACCAAGCTTGCCTCCTCCTCATCCTCCTCCTGTGCATTATCGCCCTCACCCCTCTCAGTTTTATCCGTCCCACTGACTGGCATCGCCAGTAGCCGAGAGAAAACATGGGCAACTACAAACCCAGTTTTGCGACTCTGGTCTGGGGCTGCTCCGCGCACGCACAAGTGCAAGCGTGGCATTTGTTTTAGTGTTTTGTTTCGGAGCTTACGGTCAGGACCTTCTGCTTATCATGTCGCGGCGGCAGCCCCAGTGACGCGCTATGCCCTGCGAGTGGATGGCGTATCGCTCCGGTCCGCGGGGCGGGAGATGGGACGATGACGCCTGGAGACCAAGATGTGGATAACGTGTCGCGCCGAAGTGTGGTGCGCCAGAACTGGCGGCAAGACACGCTAAGCCAACATTCCCGACCGTATTGCTGACCGGCTTCCGTTACAGGCTGCTCCTGGGATAAAGAGGGAAGAGACAGAAGGGGGAAGTGGGTGGTTGAGTGGGGTAGGAAAAAGGATGAAGGAGGAGGGAGGAAGAGAAGGAAAAGGCGGAAGAGGAGAAAGGGAGGAGGAGGATGAGGAGGAGGAGGCGGAGGAGGAGGAGGAGGAGGAGGAGAGAGACGATAGCAGGAGGGAATGAGGAGAAGGAGGAGGAGGAGGAGGAGGAGGAGGAGGAGGAGGAGGAGGCGAGAGCAGAAAAAGGAGGAGGAGGGACGCCGCTGCTCATCCGCCCCCCCCCGCTGAGAACGCGGCCTGCTCCGCGAACGGGCCCACCGCCCGCGGGGGCTGCCCCCGCCCGTAGGGCGGCACCTCGGCGGCCCTCGGGCGGCCCTCGGGCGGCCCTCGGGCGGACGTTGGGCCGGCCTCGGGCGGCCGTCGGCGGCCCTCGGCGGCCCTCGGACGGCCCTCGGACGGCCCTCGGCCGCCCTGCAAGCGAAAGACCTCCGGAGCGAAGGCTGCGGGCTGCTCTGCGAAGGGCCCCCGGGCGAGCAGCGGCGGCACGGCGGGCGCCAGGCCAGCGTCCTTGTGGGCCAGCTGCTGCCCTCCCTCCCTCCCTCCCCCCCATCCCCCCCTTCCTCCGCCGTCCTCCCTCCTCTTCCGGCCCTCCCTCCTCCGTCGCTTCTTCCTGGTCCCTCCTCTCTTCTCCCTCCTCTCATCATGCATCGCTCCATCGACCTCCTTGCGCCTCCTTCTTCTCCGCTTCCTCCTCCTCCTCCTCCTCCTCCTCCTCCTCCTCCTCCTCCTCCTCCTCCTCCTCCTCCTCCCTCCCTGCTCTTCTCCTCCTCTTCTTCATCCTTCTCATCCTGCTCCTCCTCCTGCTCCTCCTCCTCCTCCCTTCTCCTCCTCCTCGTCCTCCTTCTCCTCCTCCTCCTCCTCCTCCTTTCTGCTCTTCCTGGTTCTCCCTCCTCCTCCCCCTCCTCCGTCTCCTCCTCCCCTCCTCATCCTCTCCCACTCATTCCATCCCTCCCTCCCTCCCTCCCTCCCTCCCTCCCTCCTCCTCCTCCTCCTCCTCCTCCCTCCCCTCCTCCTCCTCCTCCTCCTCCTCCTCCTCCTCCTCCTCCTCCTCCTCCTCCTCCTCCTCCTCCTCCTCCTCCTCCTCCTCCTCCTCCTCCTCCTCCTCCTCCTCCTCCTCCTCCTCCTCCTCCTCCTCCTCCTCCTCCTCCTCCTCCTCCTCCTCCTCCTCCTCCTCCTCCTCCTCCTCCTCCTCCTCCTCCTCCTCCTCCTCCTTTCCTCCTCCTCCTCCTTTCCTCCTCCTCCTCCTCCTCCTTTTTTCCTCCTCTTCTTCCGCCTCCTCCTCCTCCTCCTCCTCAAGGGAGGGGAGAGGCTCCCCCCCTCGCTCGCCCGTGCGCTTAGCCGCCGCCTGGCTGCGGGATGGGAGGCGAGGGATGGAGAGTGAGGATGAGGATGAGCATGAGCGATCGAGCGGGGGAGGGAGGATGATCAGTGAGGGGGAAGACAAGGAGGAGGAGGAGGAGGAGGAGGAGGAGGAGGAGGAGGAGGAGGAGGAGGGAGAAGCTGGGGAGAAGGAGAAGGAGAGGGAGACGGAGAGAGAGAAGGATCGCATATCATGATCGAGGGGAGGGGGAGAGAGGAACAGGAGGCGGAGGAAGAGGACGAGGAGAAAAGATGAAGACCGAGGCTGATCCTGGAATATCGTCAACGATCGAGAGAGGAGGATTCCGGATCGAGGAGGCTTCGGGATCGACAGAAGACGATCTTTGCGGAGAGAGGAGAGGAAATGGATCATGATCGAGGCGGATCGATCTACAGGGAGCAGGGGACACAATGAGGCGTGTGTGCGCCATGAGAAATCTCAGCGCAGAGGCAGCCACACCCTCGAACGCTCAAGCGCGCATGCCAAAGCAAGTAGCCCCAAACGCACTTGTTCTAGACTCTAGACGGCCTCCAGGTGTACACCTGCACCGATCCTGGACAGGCCAATCCCAGAATCAGACACCATCAAATCTGGAACTGTGATCGAATCAACATGTGCGTCGCATCGGATCGTATCGGCACGGGTCGGATCGGGCCAGCTGGAGCCGATATATTATCGGATCGATCGGATCAGCATGGACCCTGGATCCTGGGCCCGAGATCAGCCTGCCCAACATCAATGTAATTGTATGCTGGGTGCTCGCCAAGCTTCGCCACCATGTCAAATGCTCGAGCAACTGCTGCGATACGTTTGCACGACCAGCTGCCAAAACACCGTCCTAGAGCCAAATCATGTCTCAGCATTGGCACCGCCATGTTCAGGATTTGATCCCCGCATGGTTACTGCGCTGCCATGTCCGAGCTCCAGCGGAGGTGGTGCTGGTCTCGCCCGCACTTCGTGGCGAAGAGCTGTGTTGGCTTGCCCTCCTCCCGAACCCAACCAACCCTCCGGCCAGCCCTAGTCAAGGTGACGTCGTCCACACGGCACGGCCTGCTCCGCAAAACCAGATTTAAGGCTGACAGCGGTCAGTGCTTCTCTCCTGCTGCAGTTACTCAGAGAGAGCACATGACACGGGATGAAAAAAGGCTCGCCGATAACTTTGCCGCCCCGCGGTGTGAACTCGGCGGCTAAACTTGCTCGGCGAGCCTTTTTTCCATCCAGTGTCACGTCCTCCCACTGGGTACAGCAGGAGAAAAACAATGATCGCTGTTATCGGTGTTATCATTGTTGGCCTTGACGTGTCTGGGAGGACGCATTCTGCTGTCGAAGACTTCCCGCTGGTGGAGCCGCCCCTCTGCCTCCGACGCCCCCTTCCTCCGACTAAGGGCAGGTCAGCGCCTCGACTCCTCAAGGGCAAAGCCCTCCAAAAACCGCCCCAGTGGAGGAACAACTCCGCAAGCGCCAAGACGCGCCCTCCAAGGCGAAACCCTCCAAAAACGGCTCCCCAAATGCCCCAAGCCCGTGCGAACTTCCTGGATCGGCGCTGGAACCCCGTCCCTGGCGCGCGGAGCGCGCATGGGGAGGCGCCGGAGGCGCCGCCAGGTGGGGGCCAGCGCCGATCCGAGCTCTTCTTTCTCCACAGGTGAGGCCATTCCTGGAGCGCCCAATGCAGTAGATGGTCAGGAACTTATGCTCCGCGTGTCGCGGCGGCGGCTCCAGCGGCACGCTGTGCCCAGCGAGCTGATAGCGCGCCGCTCCGCTCCGCAAGGAGGCAGGCTGGGAACAGCTCGGGACGTTGACGCTCGGGAGATGGGGACGTGGACAGCGTGTCGTGCCGACGCGCGCGGTGGGCCAGAGTCGGCGCAGCTATGCGGGGGAATCTGTGCGCTGCGAGCTATGTGGTCCTGCACACGAAGGTGCAAACCGGGGGCAGCAACGAAGCGGCAACGGGCGGCAATCTGCGGCGGGACCTCGCCGGACCCACGGGGCGCAGAAGACGGCAACGAGGCGGCAACCGGGCGGCAACCGGGCGGAGCGACACGCCCGGCCAGAGCCCCACCGCGTGCCCCTCTGGCTCCCACCTGCTGCTGCGCCGGCCGGGTGGGCCCTCGGCCGCCCGGCTCCTGAGCCGGCGGGGCAGCCTCCGCAGGCCTGCCGGGCGGAGACAGGCTGGCGCTGTTGTGCGGCGGTGCCTGGCCGGCGTGGTCGGAGCCGTCCGCTGTGGCCGGTGGCTCCTGGCAGTCTGCTCGCCAGAGGGGGGGGCACCAACGATACTGCATGCGCACCCTGTGTTGCATGTCGAGGGGACCCCGTCTGTCCCGTCGCGGCAACCATCCGCTTGTCGAATCCGCGTCGGGTCCACGTCGGCCACGTCGAATCAGTGTGGAATCCGTGCCGAATGCACGTCGCATCACGGCCAAAGCGACGTCGAAGGCAAAGGAGAAAACGGCCATTCACAGGACAGGAAAGGTCCCCCGAAGATGCACAGTAAGTCACCGTCGTCTGCTCCGCACTTCGCCCTTCTCCTCCTGTCGTCCCTCTTGCCCCTCGGGGCCGCGGGGCCCCGCCTCACACATCGTGCACCGTGGCTCCCTTTTTGCGCCGGTGGAGACAATCGGGTTCGCGTGGTCTTCTTGCTCCTCCTCTTCCCCCCCCTCCTCCTCCTCCTCCTCCTCCTCCTCCTCCTCCTCGTCATCATCATCATCATCATCATCATCATCATCATCATCATCATCATCATCATCATCATCATCATCATCATCATCATCATCATCATCATCATCATCATCATCATCATCATCATCATCATCATCATCATCATCATCATCATCATCATCATCATCATCATCATCATCATCATCATCATCATCATCATCATCATCATCATCATCATCATCATCATCATCATCATCATCATCATCATCATCATCATCATCATCATCATCATCATCATCATCATCATCATCATCATCATCATTTAGCCCCTCTCTCCCTTCCCTCCATTTCCCCTCCTCCCCCCCACTCTTCCGCCTCCTGCCTCCTCCTCCTCCTCCTCCTCCTCCTCCTCCTCCTCCTCCTCCCCATCCTCGCTCGTCCCCTCCCCAGCGGCAGCCCATCGCTCCAGTCCGTAACGCATGGCCACCTCATCGCTGTTCTGACCTCCGGGGCCTTGCCTCGGGCCCAGAGTGCCGGTGCTGGCCGACGCAGCAGCACGAGCCCGCGACCCGCGTCGACCGCTCGGGGCAGGGATGCTCGGGGAGGATGGCCAGGGGGCCCATCGGCAGGGCAGTGCCCCTGGAGACGGGCATCTCACATGTAGATCCCTGCGCCCCGCTCTCCCAGCTCAAGTGCAGCGCGCCCGCTGCAGGCCTCGATCCTGCTCCTCCTCCTCCTCCTTCTCCTCCTTCTCGATCGTCCTCCTCCTCCTCGATCCTCATCCTCCTCCTCGATCCTCATCCTCCTCCTCCTCCTCCTCATCGGTCCTCCTCCTTACTCTCCTCCTCGATCCTCCGCCTCGAGTCTCTTCTCCTCCTCCTCCTCCTCCTCCTCTCCTCCTCCTCCTCTCCTCCTCCTCCTCCTCTCCTCCTCCTCCTCCTCCTCCTCCTCCTCCTCCCCCCCTCCCCCTCCTCCTCCACCTCCTCCTCCTCCTCCTCCTCCTCCTCCTCCTCCTCCTCCTCCTCCTCCTCCTCCTGCTCGATCCTAGATCCTCCTCGATTCTCCTGCGCTGGGCAGACGGCCCAGACGCACCGCGCCGCCCTCCCGCCCCCTGCACTCCTGCTGGGCCTGGGCCTTCTCGAGCATCTGCTTGACGAAACCCTGGATCCGGGGCCGCTGAAGCACCTCCTCCGCCGTGGGGCGGCTGGTGGGGCTCCGGCTGAGCATCTGGGAGCACAGCTCCCGCGTGAAGTCGGAGAATGTGTTGGGGATGCGGAGGAACAAAAAACCAGAGGCCTCCCAGAGGGGGTCCGAGCAGACGGGGTCGGAGGATCGCGCCGCATCGACGAGGCATCGGCGACGTCGACGTGAAGCAAAAGGGGATCCACATCGAGCCGCATCGCCGATGCATCGGCGATGTGGAGCGATCCTTGACCTCATCTACTCGAGCAGAGCATCCCCCCCCGTCCCAACACACACTCTCCGCCACCTTTCCAAACAGCGCTGGACCGAAGAAACTTTTGGAACTTCGCACGGATTTCTCGTATCGGCTGGCGCCGCCCCTGGCGCGCTCCGCGGGTCAGGAAGGGTCCAGCGCCGATCCAAGAAATCCGCGCGGGACTTCGAGGGGTTATGTTAATTCCGTCTTTTGTTCTTCCAGGATGGTAGGTAATGGCCCGCGGCAGATCTTCTGCACGAGCGTCGAAATGTTTGGGGCGTCGAATGGCACCTTGAGGGTACACAGCTCGTAGAGGATGCACCCCATGGCCCAGATGTCGGAGGGCCACGTGTACGGCTTCTCTTGGCCTCGGAAACCAACCCCGCTAACGGCGCGTGTATTGAACAGCGCAGCCCGGCCGCGAGTGAGAATCGTGCCAAAGAGCTGGACACTTGTTCGGCCATCAGGGCGCGGAGCGTAGGTTCCTGTTCAAGCGGCACGTGTGTGCGTAAGATCTCCCTGCAAACTGGATGAAATGAAAGGTATGCGGCCGTGCTTCTTGCAAGTGGGCCAGCGTGCAGATCTGATCGGTTTCCGCCAGAAAATCCAAGGAGGCCATCTGTACTGGTTCCAGCATGTGAGGAGTCGGCGCTGCTAGTGAAACGTACCCCTATGCACTATAATAAACCTTTGAGAGTGCACCGTCGAACAGGTCACAAGACCGACCATGTTCCCGACGGCGCAGGCGGGTCCCAATGTCGCAGACGCCTGCAAGATACCTTGTTATGCCGTGGGAAGGATCAAGATAACAGTCGAGGCACAACCAATCAAGATGGCATTCCAAGATTGCCCATTGTGTCATACAACGCTGCCATCCCAAAATATTGAAATCTCATACAAATAACATTGTGGTGTCCCAGTGCATCCTGCCTGTCGAACGATTTGCTCCCAAAAGGCCCTGAGAGGACCTGAAGACAACTTGACACCCAGAACGACGGACCCCAAAGGCGTCGTGATGCTCCCAGTATGTCCGGACAGTACCCACTAGGGCTCCAAGATGGCCACAGGATGCCCCCAAGAGGCCACAAGCTATCCCCCGGAGGTTGGGCCAACATCTAATAGTGGGCCCAAAGGTAAGTCCGATACGCTGTGTGTCAGCAATGCAGGTGGGATGGCACAGCAAAGCCGCAAGACGACCTAAAGACGGCCGCGGCATGGCCCCAGTGTTACCCTGGGAAGCCTCAGCATTGCAGAAGACGCCCCCTGCGGGGAGGAGGAGGAGGAGGAGGAGGAGGAGGAGGATGAGGATGAGGATGAGGATGATGATGATGATGATGATGATGATGATGATGATGATGATGATGATGATGATGATGATGATGATGACAATGAGCAGGAGGAGGAGGAGGAGGAGGAGGAGGGCCCAAGACAGCCCACGTTCATGTTGAACCAAACTGCCCCCTCAGTCTCTACTCCATCAGAGCCCGCGGGTTTCACGGCATGATTCTGGCTCCAGCTGCCACAAGCTTTCCCTGAACATGTTGGGTCCCCCAGGCCTTTTGCGCCTCGTGAGTAGTGCCCTGGATGCCATCTGGACCTCCCTGGTCAAGCTGGGGGACCTTGAGGGGTCGACTGGCGAAAGGACATTTTTTCTGGTCAAGTGAGGAAGTTTCGGCGCGCGGGCGGAGAGCTTCATTTTCCCCAGCGAAGAAATTTGGCAGGGCGAGCCTGGAAACCGCGCCCAGGCGAACGGCGAAACGTTCCCAGGGCGGAAGAGCGCATTTCCAGACGCTCCTGCACGGAACCTCCGAACGCAGGAAAGGGCTGGAGAGTTCCCATGAAGGCCTGATCCCATCGCTGACAGTGAAAATCCAGCGCCCATCTGTGAACAAAAGCCCTTGTCCGACCCCCCTCCCCCTTGAAGCCCCCCTATGTCGATGTACAACGGAGCTGTGGAGAAGCCGAGGGAGGCGTTCATCCAGAGCTTGCCCCACGGACCACAATGAGACACCTCAATGCAAGACGCCTGTATTCAAACCTCGACAGCTCGACAAGTTGGCGAAGGAGCCTCGGCCAACCCGGGCTCTCAGTCTTAGGGTGGGATCCGTTGATATCGTTCAGTCGGGCATGCTCCTCTACAGGAGGAAGATCCAAAGACAGTCAAACATAGTATGGGGAAACTTTGTTTACTATTATTGACTCTTTGAAAATGTGCTTGATTATTTTTCATGTTGCTTTCCAAATCCGCCTGTAGGAGGACATGCCCGACCGAATGATATCGGCAGAGGATTCGCAAGCACGGGGCTGCTTCGCGAAGGGCCTGGAGCGCAAGAACGAGGATCCAAAGCCGCAGCGCGATGATGACGACTACGATGCCAAACGATGAACAATCGCACAGCTTCTCAACACAGCTCTGCCATGAGAGCAGCTGCACCGACGCAACGCACAGCAGGCGCGAGCAGCCTCTCCGCCTCGAGAGCACTGCGACCGCAAGAGCTGCATGTACGAATTGCAACAAGTTCCCAGCAAGTGAACTGAAGCCTCCAGAGCGCCCGAACGCGACGAAAGCAGGAGTGAACTACACTCACCGACGGCCAAGCACACCTGAGGCAACTGCAAGCAACAGAAGTCGAGGGCATACGAAAGTGAAAACGTTTCAAATAGGGAAAAAGAAAGCAACCCAACATGCTGTCAGCCAGATGCAAGACAGGGGAGGGCGTGAAAGCAACGATCATGTAAAACGTAACTCACAAGACTCGCCCGCCCTTCAGTTCAGAACTTCTGCTCGGGACAGCCGAGCAGCCGTGCACCTAGATCTACATTCCAGGGTTCCAAGGCAGGCCAAAGGGCCGCGTCGCGTCCACGGCCAGGCAGCCAAAAAAACCGAAGACATTATGATCAAGCGCCGCGTCCAGGCAGCCACAACGCCACGAAGGCAGGTGTGAAAGACACTCCTCGATCGGAAAAGGAACCCAGAAAACCTGCAACCACCACACATCGAAGGCATAAGTTGAGGCCCCGCCCCACAACGTCAGGTCAGAAGCATAGGAGCAGGCCATCACCAACCAGGAATACGACTGGCAAGACAGCCCCTGAAGCGCAAATTACACCGAAGCTGATCACTGGGAAAGAGCCACCCCCTGTTCAACTACAGACACGCGAAAATTGCCCTGCTCACCCGGGAGAATTTCCTGGCCGCGCCGTGCAGAAGTACTGCGCTCGGCCCAGAAAACGTTCGACCAGAGAGCATGTCTCCGTTCGGGGACGGACTTCCCTGTTGCGAGCTGGACTTCCTGGTTTGCCTTTCAACCTACCTCGGGCACCTCTTGCAACACAAGCGGCAGAAGGCGAGTGCCTCCATATATAAAACAGCGCAGCTCGCAACTGAGCGAAGTACTAACGACATAAGAGACGACGGCCACGTGGCGGCGGGACGCTGAGCTCCCGACACACCTCGGGACTGAGGTAATATGGAGTTCCGATCTGAGTCCTTGCACATGCTGCTGTGGACGAAAGCACCTTCGCGATGCCGAAATCTCCCAGCTTCAGGTTTCCGCTCTTCGAGAGGAACAAGTTGGCAGCCTGGTCTTACGCAAAGAATTTCTCACAACAAACACCCCCCTTCGCACACATGTTGTCCCTCGTTTGTGTACGGACTCAGCCGCAAGGCCGCAGCATGTGGGATAGAAGTACCTGCCTGCCACACGCACTCTCTCTCTCTCTCTCGCTCTCACAGATCGATCCACTCAAGGTACGAATCTAGCAAAGCACGGGGCAAGGACAGGGACAAGACGGCAAGATCGCCAAAGACAACTCATAACCAAAACGTTGCGGCGAGCCTCTTCTGGCGCCCTACCCTAGCCCATAAAGCGTCAGTGGGGTCAAGCCAGTGTCATGCCACGATCTGGCGTCGTGCGACAGATAAGAAGTGAGGGCCTCAATGGGGTCATCCTCAACTGCAGCGCTGACGTGGCATGGGCTCTCCGCTCAAAACTCTCACAACAGGGGCGGGTGAGTGAGCTGCACAACTAAGTCTGGACTATACTATAGGGCTGGATTATTAAGTAGGGTCGCTAACTCTCACACTTAGGGCTGGTCTATAACATACCGGTTTGCTCTGCGTGGGAGGAACGGACAACATGTGTATTGCAAGCAACGCGAACCACCACAAAGACTCTTCGCATTTGGATAGGAAGAGTCTGGCAACCTTCAAATCGCGGTGCAGCACGTGCTTGTCGTGTATATCCGCCGTCCCCCCTTGCGAGGCCCGGGGGGAACCACGATACTGTCGCATGGAGAATGGCGTCCCCCAAAAGAGGACTGTCCTGTCACCGCTCTCCCTGTTCCTCATGAGCTAGGCCTTGTAGTTACCGCCCCTTCCAGGGAGCGCCCCCCGAAGTCCACATCTCTGGAGACACATTCGAATTCATGCGATCGTGACCCCCAACAGCAGATGAGAGCTCCCAGGGGTACGAGATGCGCGGCACCCTGGCTCGCACCGAAGACCCCGAGACGAAGCCATGAGGCTGTGTAAGAACATTCCCGGGAGGGGCGACATGCGGGCCCGAGGCCTCGAGAGATGCCCAACGAATGCCCAGCGAGACCCCCCGGACCCCCAAGATGAAGCCTTCAACTTCCGAGGGATGCAAGACATCGGCTGCAGCAGCATCACACCCCCACAAAATCGCTGCACAGCAGAAGCAAGGTCGGCTGCATGGTCAGAGCCAACCAGACATGCATCCAGGCGTTCAGGTTGCCCAGAACCGATGGCATCCAATGGTTGCATTCTGCGTCGCCTCTTTTCGGAGCAGGGCGAGTCGAAACAACGGCAGCTTACAAACTGTCCCCAAACCCCTTCCAGAGGTCCAACCGCAGATGTTATCCGAGCACCGTTCCGCCGTGGCGATGAGGAGCCCTTACGAAGGCCAATTACCGTTGCCTCAAATCGCCCTAATCTGAGCATCTTTCAGGGTGTCACTGGCCGCGGGCGGGGATGTCTCAACTCTTCCTCCTCTGAACCTCTTTCATGGTGTCACTGTCCGCGGGCGGGCAGAGTGACCCTCGGCAAGAGTGACCTCTGCTGCCCGGCTGAGGGGGGCCCGCGGATAAGCCAAATCCAGGCGCGCAAGCCAGGGCTAGGGGCACCCCTAGATCAAACTGCGTAACTATTCACTATGTCGCCAATGACCGGCTCGCCATGCCTCCCCCTCACCTCCCTCTCTCCCTCCCCCCTCCGCCCCCGGTTGCGCCCGTGACTGCCAGGGAATAAAAAACCGGTTTCCAAAAGATCACTTCGGCGGCGGGTTCTTCTTAGTGAGCATGTCCTTGTTCGCGGCGGTAGTGGGCGTTATTGGGGGGGAAGAGGGGGGGACAACGTGACGCCCCCAACACCCTTCCGCCGTGACGGTCCCGCATCAACGTCTGCGGTGCTGAACACACTGCGGCATTGCCGGGGACGCACTGGGGGAGGGGGGAGCGGTACGTTTTCATGGGGGGGGGAATAGAAGAAGAAATAACGCAACAAATAAACTTTCGGCGCTCCGCGCGGATCTCTTGGATCTGCGCCAAGGGCGGCGCCAGAGGCGCCGCCGGGGAGGCCCCAACGCGGATCCAAGAAATCCGCGCGGAGCGCCACAAGTTTAGGCTGATGCCGTCTTTTCTTCTCTTCGAGGGCAGGGGATGGAGGGGTATTGGGGGGGGGGGGGGGGGGGGGCACAACGCGCGTTGTGGCCCCGAGGGCGAGCCAAGACACGCTCCCTCGCGCGTGGCGCCGACCCTTGGGCGCCACACCAGGCCGCGGGGGGCGAGGCGGCGGGAGGCCCCCGAGGCTCCGCGGCTACTTCAGGGCCAGCAGCGCCTGCGTCATCCACTGGAGGATCTGGTCCTCCGCGATCGTGCGCCGCGCCCTGCGCGCCGCCTGCGGGGGGGGGGGGGGGGGCATGCCCGCCAGCATCCGGCCCGCGCCCCGCCCTCAGGCACGCTCGTTTTTAGATTCCCTCGGAACTGGCGACGACGACGACGAAGACGACGACGAAGACGACGACAGCTTCTCGCACACGGCGACTGGGTCGGCGGATGTCAAACATTGATTTTCCCAGTTTTCTTCGCTTTCTCAAACTGTTGCCCCTGCTGCAGCGTTGACCTCATTTTCCGATCGGCGCTTTGCTCCCGTCGTTGAGACTGGTGCTCTCGCCCCAAAGTCGGCACGCGCGGGGAAGACTGCGGTCGACGTGCAGCGCATCGAATCTACGGGCCAACTGTGGATCATTGTGGGGGGGCGTTGGCAGATGAGTGTGGCGTTACTGTTTGTTTGCCGATGTTTGTTCAAGGCCTTCTCTCGGGCACGCGCTAACGTGGAGTAGAGATGCTTGGATCTGGCGCGCAGGCGCCGGATCCACGGATCGGGGAAGGCTTATCCCGTCGGGAATTTCCGCCGAGCGCGTCGAGGCCGGGGCCCTGGCGACGCGCTGTGCCTTGCAAGCGGATGTAGCGCTGTCTTCACGGGGCGGGAGGCTGGGAAACCAAGCTCCTGCAAACGGGGTGTTTGTAAACAGGGCGGTAGCTAAGGGTTCGTTTTCCATTGTGCCTTCGAAAAATCGATTCGCCGCGCGCAAGTGCAAGGTATTCCCCCGCGCCCAGGGTTTTGATGATGTGTCGACGAATTTGTCGTCCCTGTTTATCACGTGCTAGTGCGAAGTAAATGTCATGTCGCCCTGTACTCTCTCGTAGAGGTCCCTTAGCTACCACCCCGTTTACGAACACCCCGTTTGCAAGGGCTGGGGAAAAGCTGGGGGCACTGACGCTCAGGGCCGTGGACGTGGATAGCGGGTCGCGCCGAAGCGGGGTGGGCTGAGCCAAAGACCCCGACCGTCAGCCGCGGAAACGCAGAGCCAGCGCCGCCTGGCATGGCGCCGGAGCGGCCCGCCTCCGCACAGAAGCGGGACCCGGCCCGGAGCCACGCGCCTCCACCCCGGTGCTGCGTTTCCGGGGCTCTCCTCCACGAGGCCCCGCCCCCTCCGACCATCTGGCCATTCTCGCCCTGGGCCCGCAGCCTGGCCCCGCCCCTTCTGCATCCCAGCCCGCCCCCAGGAGGAGGAGGAGGAGGAGGAGGAGGAGGAGGAGGAGGAGGAGGAGGAGGAGGAGGAGGAGTAAGACCAGTGTCAACCCAAGGGTCATCAACGATGTTGGAATTAACCTTCCCTTCAAGCCCCTTCTTCGTCGGCCCCTACAACGCTTCATTTCCATTGAGGGAACTGCCTCGTTGGAAGACAACCGTTCGAAGAGCATGCACCATGCCAAAACATTGTTCTCGGGATTTCAACGCCACGTATCAACCTGACTGCTGCGTTTTGACGGTCCAGAACCGTGCCATGACGCCGTTTGTCAAATCTCAACACCGCGAATCAACATAACTGTTGCACCCGCAAAATCCTGAGTCCTTCCAGAACACAATTTCTGGTGCGCTGATGATGGAACTCTGTGAAACCTGACGAATTTTGAAAACGACTGTGCGCGGCGCTAGGGCGAGAACCACATTTTGAAATGGAGCCGCCCTCAATCCGTGAAATTCTTGCAAATTTTGAAAACGAATACACGCGGCACTACAGCGAGAACCACATTTGAAAACGACCCGCGCTCAATCCGTGAAGCTCTTGCAACTTTTGCAAACGAATGTACGCGGCGTTAAGGCGAGAACCACAAATTGAAGACCACCCGCCCCCAATCCGTCATACTTTTGCGAATTTCGAAAACGAATATGCGCGGCGCTAAGGCGAGACCCACATTTTGAAAACGGAAAACGACCCGCCTTCAATCCGTGAAGCCTTCCTGCAAATTTTGAAAACGAATGTGCGCGATGCAAAGGCGAAATCCATATTTTGAAAACCACCCACCCTCCATCTCTGAAGCTGTTGTCAACTTTTGAAGTTTCAGGGTCATAAATTGCGAGGAAGTCTCAGGCGAAACGCCGGGCCCGCCCTAACAACTGGCCTCGGGGTGCGACAAGGAAAAGTTATCTATTAAGAGAAGGAATGTAGGAATACGAAGAGGAGGCGGAGGGATTATGGGATTCTGCCGCGGCGACGCATGTCGGTGACAAGCGCCGTGCGGTGGGCCAGGGCGGAAAGCCTGGCAAGAGGGGTGCCTTCGGCACCAAAACGGTAGGGGCCACCTGTCACGGGTGAATTAGAGCAGACGGCCCGCCACAGTTACGACACAAGGAATGGCCCAATGTCAGTCAGAGTCGTCGGAAGAAACCAACGCGGGGAGGGGCCTGCTGTCAGGCTCCTGTCGGAGCTGCGCCGCCTCCGCGCTTGACGGTGCCACATTCGCTCGCTGCTCGAGCGTGGAGGCATTGCTGGGCCTGGGAGGGGTTGGGGAACTCGCCGACGTCACGACGGGACGACACACACCCTCCACAAGCACTGGTCGCACAGGCTCGGCGCTGCTTGCAGAGCTAGCACCTGGTCCTGGAGGCCCCTGGGATCTCCAACGGGGCCCAACGAACCAACGGCAGAAACAAAATCGCCGCCCCACGGTTCCGGGGCAACCCCCATTTTAGGGTGACGGCCTACCTCTGCGTTGCGCCAATACATACGATGACTCTCAAGCGTGCTGGCAACCTGAGTTGGCCCAGCTCGATCTCAGCTTGCGCCATGGGCCATCAGGGAGCACCCAGTACCCCGCACAGAACCGACAAATGATAACTCTGCCATGCCGCCCTGGGCGATGACCTAGATTAGCAAAAGCGTTCAACCCTGGGCCCACCGCAGCACCAGTGGTAAAAAGGGGATGGGGGTCCACGGCCCGAGGAGGAGCGAGGTTACCAGTCACCGCTGGACCCTGCGCCGCGTAGGGGTGGGCATCAGGGTCGGCGGTGATCAAAATGGCTGCGCGGCAGCGCTCTAACTCTCCACCGTGGCAGTGCCTCGCGGCCCCGCTGACGATGGATCTGAGAGTCAACTCGCTCTTGGCCGCAACGTTGCAACATTTGCATCTCCACTCCTGTCGCGAGGGGGGGTAGTAGACCTCGTGGGAAAGCAAAGTGGGACGGTCAGTCTTCTCAAGCCCGGGGGGCATCTTCTCGGACCTCTCGAAAGCTTCAGATCACCCCCCAAATATCTGGACCGCACGCGCCAAGAAACTCCAGTTTTGCTTACAGGCATTCAAACCGCCCCCCTCGACATCTACAACCGCCTGCGCATGCTGGTGGCCCTGCCCCCCCCCAGACGCGGGAAAACATCGGCCCAGTGGTTGCCTAAGTAGCAGGTGGCCTGCCCCTGCTCCAGCATCATCACTCCCTCGGTGTCTCTGTGAGCAGAGACCCACTCAAACTGTATTGTTTTGTGGCGTGTGCGTGTGTGCGGGGGGGGGGGGGGGGGGGGTCAGGCTTGCGGAGCTGAGGGGTCTGCCTCCAGATGTCTGCATGCCTTGCCGCGCCGCCTCCCAGCTTGCGACTCCAGGTATCACCCTCTCTCACAAACGTTAGATGGTCATTATATATGGTGTCTACCTGGGGGGCTACTTTCATCGCCGTCAGGCCCGCATGCCTCCCCGCGCGCGGCACCGACTGGCGCCCAGGGGGAGGCCCGTGCACCGCCCTCAAGGGCAGGCCCGAATCCGAAAGCTCCACCGCGGCCCACCCACGCCCACGCAGTTCTGGGCTCGCACTCGCGAGCCCCAAGCCGTCAGCGTAGATCTGCCGACCCCGGGGAAGGTGCGTAGCCCCCCAGTGGAACACCAGGCACTGCAGGGGCTGGGGCGCTAACTGTATAAGGTGAGACGGCAGACCGTAGGCAAGCTCGAGCGCGCGCCACTCAGGCGCGCCCAGTCCATTGCCCCCAAGACCCCGCAGCCCCACCCCAAATTTTTTAAAGCCCTGCATTCCAAGACGTCCTCAGGCATTGGTTCAACAGGGAGCTCACTGGGCGGCTGCAGGAGCCCTTGGTGCCAGGCTCAAGAGAATCACAAAACTCACTTCGATCGCTTTCACAGGAGCCCAAGGGCCTTCTTACGCGCAGGGGGCCACAGGGCGGAACCAATCAAACGTCTGGCGCAGCCATTACTCATTGGAACTTTCAGGTTCAAGATGGCGCGGCGGGGCGCTCCTCCAGATGCCATTCGGGTTGCCAACAATCGGTTGCATGTGAGAAACGATACGTCGCATCTGCCATCGCCCAATACTGTGTCGAAGTAGCTGCTTCAGCTCCCACGGTGGTGTCTGCAGTGAACTGATCGATGTCCCTTGATCGTCTTGTAGAGCATGGGCCGATGTCATCATCCAATCCACTCGGTGCAAGGAAAGCGCCACTGCAGACAACGGGCCTATTGCATCTGGCCCAAGAGAATTCACCACCCCATGCTGCCTTCATGGCCGGCCACGCCCTCGGCAGTGGTCCGAGGGACACCTGTGAATCCCATATACCCGTTGCATATCTGCATACTACATCTGTAGCGACATCAAATATAGGATCATGCCATTCATCTGACTCTGTAGCCAACCGAGCTGTGGCGCTAGCATGGGCTTTGGCCCCCACGAGGGCTCCAGCCAGGTGGCGTAGCTGGGCCAAGGTGGATGGCACTACTCCACTTGCTCCAGCACCATGTGCAGCTGCAGGGAGAAGTCCCGTTCGCAACAGCGCGTGCACCTTGCCTTGCCCACGCCGTAGTGATTGTAGCCCCCCCCCCCGTCGAGCTTTGATCCCAAGTAGTCGTCGTCGCTCCTGTATATGCCGCAATCGAACACCAGCCAGTTCACATCCCAGATTACGCATGTGCTTGCGGCATTGCAAATTCATTATCGTACCCAACTTCTGTGCGACCTTGGTAGCTGGCTTAGTACTTGCCACGCAGCCACTCGCGTCCGCTTGCGTAATGTGCCCCAAAGGCTGTACTCGTCGTATAAACCATCGCACCGCA